TCTCTTCTTCTTTTTTTTTTTTTTTTTTTTTTTTTTTGTTAGAGTTTCAACGCAACGCGTCGAGTTTAATATTCTCGTACGCTTCGGACTGAGATATGGGATTTCATTGTAATTTATCATAATATCCGTGGCGGATGTTCGTTTGGTGTTTCGCTTCTGTCCAGAGACAGCGAGGCGAAATGAAAATTGTTGAATTTCAGAGTTAACATCTGTGAAAGGTTCGTGGAAATTAATGAGACAAACTTCGCACGTGGAATGCAACTTTCGGTTTGAAGTTTAGCACCACTCGTCTTAGCTGTCCCTTGCGTTTAGTATTTTTGCCCGCGTTGAGAACTGTTAAATCGTGAAAGTAAAAAGAGAATATTATTTTATTATTCTATTATTTTATTTATTGTTGTTTTATCCTAGTTTTGCTACGACGTCCAGGATGTATGTAAAAAGGAAGAAAATTGCGTAGAAATTAAACATAGAAGTGCGTAACAGTAGAAGCAGGGATTATTTATTTCAATCAGACGTGTTTTAACGATAAACGAAGGTATCAAATTTTATTTATTACAAGAAACAACGAAACGTGTAAAAGAATTTTCTTTATTAAGATTTCAATGTCGCAAACTACTGAATAATCGATGAAATTTCTATTCTGTGTGCGAGAATATTGTATCTGGAAATGCTGTGTTCTTTTTTGTGCGTATTAATTGGCAACGTTAAAAGGCAGAATTAATTGTTTCACGTAGCTCATTTTTGCTTCGTATTAATTAAACCGATTAACTCTTTACGTCAATAATCGTTTCTCTTTTTTTTTTAAATTATCCACGAATAAAAGTCCGACAGCGTAAAATTACGTAAAGGAGTATTTGGTATTTTTTATCAATACCTGTTATTAATAAAGCTTCGAACGATCTGTGTGTAATATATCTTATTATTTGATTAGGCTCGTAGAATATACCGTGAAAAATTTGGCTTTATTCTGTGATATGTATATCAAATATATGGCAACGTTCGAGAAAATATTTTTGGACGTTCGGATACGCGGAAACAAATCTCGTTGCTACAATATGTGATTATTATATTTATCAAGTACACGTATCGATTTTAACCTACGGACGCCTGTTGTTCCTAGTATGTATTTAGGTTACAATTAATTGCAATTTCAACCTACTTCGAGCTATCTCGCGTTCCGATATCCGTTTTAATAATCCAACGCGACAGCATTGGTAAACTACATAGTATTTGAGCAATGCCCAAATTCAACACGATAAAACAAATTGTTAGGAAATGTTGGATTACAGATTGGTTTTTGATTACGTAGAACGTCAAATATCACCGTGATGTTTAACTATATTTAACATCGAAACGGTATAATGACTAAATATTGCATCGACTCTTCAACATTGAGATTTATTTAAGTGCAACTCATTTAGCATCAAATCTTATTGAACTGGTATAGAAAAGGTAATATTTATTGCATTAAGTCTATAAAAGTGTTGAATAAATATTCAATGCTTCTTGTTATACAATAAATATCATCCTATGTTGCTATTAACCCATTTACATCATCGCTCTACTTAAGCTGCCGCGTTGAAACATCAGCGACGTTCAACTGAGGACTGACTCGTATCACTGCGCACGGTCGATCGTATGTGCAGTAACGAGCATCT